TGTATAAGAATGCAATACAATACTATAGAAACACTGAGAATCTACTGATACAGAAAGATGTTATATTGCAGGTGGCAAAACAGGTGTCTGGTATATATATATATATATATATATATATATATATATATATATATATATTTTTTTTTTTTTTTTAAGATTTTATTTATTTTTTCATGAGAGACAGAGGCAGAGACACAGGCAAAGAGAGAAGCAAGTTCCATGCAGGGAGTCTGACACGGGACTCGATCCCAAGACTCTAGGATCACTTCCTGAGCTGAAAAGCAGACGCTTAACCGCTGAGCCACCCAGGTGCCCCATGGTATCATATTGTTTGAAATTGAATGTCTTTACGTGCATTTGTATACATAGGAAAATATTTGGGAAGAAGTTCCCAGACACAAAATAAGTGTGACCTATTTTTCCCCTCCAGGTTCTCCAGTCTAATGTATTGGTGTTGAGAACTGATAGCATCTGAGGGCTATTTCCTTGGCAGAACCACCCTGGTCCTACAACAGACTTCGGTATGAGATCCAAGTGTTCAAAAAAATAAGCTTTAAAAAGTGCAGTACTTTATGGCCCTGTAAAATTGTTGTAATTGCTACTTAGATATGTACTCATTTATCAAGTGGGAAATTGTTAAAAGTTATTCAGAACAGTTTGGTTATTTGCTTATTTTTTGGAGCTAGGGTCTTAGATTTTTTTTTTTCCTTGTAATCATAAGAATTAAATACGTAGTGAATATATAGAAAAATGCCCTAACTCTCACCTTGAAATTTAAGATTTAAGAGCCTACAATCCGCTTATAAATTCAAGAATCAATGCAAGGACAATAGCTGAATGATAGAAAGATGAAGATAGTAGTACTAAAGAACTTTTTTTATCTAGAAAATGGAAGTATGACGAATGAAGATCTGATAACCAGGTCTTGGAAGAAATGGGGCAGGATCTAGTTCTTGGGACCTCAGTAGCAGGAGCTCAGAGTCTTTGTTCTAGTGTCTAGTGTTCCACATCCATGTCATTCTTTTATCCATGACTGTGATTGCTTCTCTCTTCCTTGTACCTACCATCCAGGGACTGGAATTTGTCTACTCATTTGTGTCTTCAGGGCTCACTGGGGAGTGCTGTGGGGAGGGAAAGGATTCAGGCATTAAATTGATGTCTGATGTGCTGAAGATGCTCAAATAATTAAGAAATAATTTCTACCTCAAGGATCTTCCAATCTAGGTGGGGGAGAGAGACCTGTGAATGATGAGTTGGATGTGATGTAACTGAACACCAGGTTGAGGCAGCATTTCATTCAAATTGAGAGAAAACACTTAACATTGAGTCTTGAATGATGAGTAAGATTCACCAGGTAGACTAAAAGAGGGGCAAGGGCCTCTTTTCAGACAGAGGCACGTGCACAAAGGAACTCTAAGTAGGAAACAGACTGGCCTGACCTGTTCAAAAAGTATGTGGAGACGCCATACTATGAGGCCAGGCACTTCTGCAGGGGCCAGACTCATTTTCTGAGCCAAGGAGTTTGCTGCTTTTCTAGTAGGTCATAGGGATCATTGCACCATTTTAAGTAGGGGAGCCTTATTCTCAGTTTTGACTGTTAGAAATTGTTTGCAATGACATGAGAAAGGAGATTTGGAATTCTTGAAGTGAAAAGAGATGAAGCCCTGAAGTACGGTGGTAGCAAAAGGGCATGGAAATGCTTAAGACCCAGAGGAAAGAGGTTATGAAGGAAAAACTCATAAGAGTCTTTAAACTGGTGGAATGAGGCATATGGGACAGAGGGAAGAATCTCACATATGTGTTTTCCACTTGGGTACCAGAGGGTCAGGTGTTGCTATTAACCCAAACACGATAGGAGAGGCCAAGTGTGGCTCTGTTTCTCAGTGATTTGTTGATGTTGCTCCTCTATACCAGCTTGGAAAGAAAACTGAAAACCCCATCTGCTAGCCCCTTAACTCACTTACCTCCTACTCTAACTTTAGGAAGGATGCTCTTTTTTATTTAACCAATTTCATAAAGATCCCACACCAAGTAATTGCTACTTTACTACATATTTTATTTATTTTTTTATGATTTTATTTATTCATGAGAGACACAGAATGGGAGGCAGAGACACAGGCAGAAGGAAAAGCAGGCCCCCCATAGGGAGCACGACATGGACTCGATCCCAGGACCCCGGGATCACACCCTGAACCAAAGACCACCCAGACGTCCCATTACATATTTTAATTATTCCATAATTTTATTTTATTTATTTATTTTTTTTATTATTCCATAATTTTAAATGATATCCATAGTCCCACTATTAGTGAAGACAGAAAACAGGCAGGGTTTGAAAAGGGCTTACTCAGCCTCCTGCCCTTTAGGGGAGGTTCTTGTTTCTATGTTTCTGCCCAAGAAAGGGACCAGTCTAACAAATCTGGTGCCTGAGCTCTTCTGGGTTTGCTTGCTGCTACAGAATGTTCATTAAAGCTGGTCATTGCCTCTTTCTTCTTTATCCTTTCCTTGGGATGAAAGAATATAGTAAGAGTTCAAAAAATTTAACTGAACTACTATGAGAGTCTGTTGCTACTTTGTGAATTCAAGAGCTAATCAAAAACTCTGGATTAAAGTAGAAAGATGTGACTTTTTCACAGAGCCTGTTAAGCTCAAGCCCTTAAAGAGTCTTTTGTGACTTCCCCAAGTGTGGGCTGTCTCCAGAGGCACCTCTTCTGCTACAGTATAGTTATTTTACAGGTTTGTGTTTTGTTCTCAGCTGTGTTGTTTTATTTACTTATTTTTTTAAAAAAGATTTCATTTATTTATTCATGAGAGACAGAGAGAGAAGCAGAGACATAGACATAGGGAGAAGCAGGGTCCATGCAGGGAGCCTGATGCGGGACTCGATCCCTAGACCCAGGATCATGCCCTGAACTGAAGGCAGATGCTCAACTGCTGAGCCACCCAGGCGTTCCATCTGTGTTGTTTTAGAGGAAGAAACTATTCATTTTTATGAGATGTCTGGTCAGCATAGGCCCTTAACAAATGTTGAGATGGATGGATGGATGGATGGATGGATGGATGGATGGATGGATGGATGGATGGATGACACAAAACCTCAATAACAACTTTTTAGACCAGTTGTTCTTACAGTAGTCACAAGCCCCTCATTTCCCTTGAGATGCTTTTAGGAGATACATGAGGTCAGAACCATTTGTGAAATTGTTATTATTCACAAATAACAGCATTTACCTGTCTCATGTTGATATTTACACTGATGTTGGAAAAACAATGGTAAGTTAAATTGTTGATATCTTAGTATAAATCAAGTTCATGGCATCAACTAGCAATCATATTCTTCACTGCCATACAATCACATTAAAAAGAAAAAAAAGACTCAGAAGTATCATCACTGAGTTCTCAAAAATAGTTAATTTTTTGTGCTGAGTCAAGATTAACATTGTTGAGTTAATATTAAGATCTTGGGGCAAAAAAAAAAAAAAAGATCTTGGGGCACCTGGCTGGCTCAGTTAGAGCATGTCTTGGGGGTTGTAAGTTCAAGCCCCATGTTGGATGTAGAGATTACTTAAAAATAAAATCTTTTAAAAAAGCTAACTACATCTCTACTCTTTAATATTCTGTGTGATGAAATGGGAGGTAAACACACAATAGTTCTACATACTGTAATTTAGTAGTTGTCCTAAAGAAAAGCACTTGTTGCAAACAAAACTAGTCATTTTTTTCATGGAGAAAATATTTACTTGAAAGAACAACTGACAGATTAGTTATTCAGTCTTGAGTATTTGGCAAATATTTTCTCAAAAATGAACAATCCAAGTTTGTCACTTCAAGGAAAACAACTGACAATAACTGTTGCCAGTGACAGAATATGAGCTTTTATAATGAAAAATTAGAATTTGACATGAACTTGAATTAATCATTGTGAGCCTGAGACAATTCCCAGTGCTTAAGGACTTTTTTTCTGATTATCAATGGTAATATTAGTAAATGTTATTTTTAATATAATAAAATGTGCCAACATTGAGAAGATCTGCACAACTTACAGAGTCATCATTTTCCAAATAACTAGTGCTGATGTTATAAAACCATGCATGAGTAAGGAACCTATTCAAATTGTAGGACAGACAGTGAAATTTAGTGTAACAGAATATGAAAATTCATTGATGTGGTTTCAGATTCCACATTACAGCTAACCTTTAAAGCAACTACCACTTACTGTTTCTCGGCCTTTTGGCTAATTACCCAAATGTGAGTATAGTATCAAAGAAGACTGTCCACAATTATGTGAAAACTCTATTAAGCTATTTCTTCCTTTTCTAATTACATGTCTATGTGGGAAGCCATATTTTCTTCATATGCTTCAACTTAACATATTAACGACAGATTGAATACAAAAACAGGAGAATCCAGCTGTTTTCTATTAAGCCAAACATGAAGAGATTTGCAAAAACATAAACCAATACTACTTTTTTCACTAAATATATTTTGGATAATATACTTTTCATAAAATATTTATGCCAAACATGTAATGGGTTTGTTATTTTATTTATTTATTTTGGTTTGTTGTTGTTTTTTAAGATTTATTTATTTATTCATTCAGAGAGAGCGAGAGAGGCAGAGACACAGGCAGAGGGAGAAGCAGGCTCCATGCAGGGAGCCCGACGTGGGACTCGATCCCGGGTCTCCAGGATCACACCCTGGGCTGCAGGCGGCGCTAAACCGCTGTGCCACCAGGGCTGCCAGTTTGTTGTTATTTTAAAAGAATTAATATTTTGGGATGCCTGAGTGGCTCAGCGGTTGAACATCTGCTTTGGCTCGGGGCGTGATCCTAGGGTCCTGGGATCCAGTCCCACATCGGGCTCTCTGTGGGGAGCCTGCTTCTCCCTCTGCCTATGTCTCTGCCACTCTCTCTGTGTCTCTCATGAATAAATAAAATCTTTAAAAAGAATATTTTTAAAGTTTTCAAAAAAAAAAAAGTTTTCCAGGTCTAATTTTTTTTTTTTTTTTTTTTAAGATGTGAGGTTTTTTTTAAAGACTTTATTTAGGGACTCCTAGGTGGCTCAGTTGTTGAGTGTCTGTCATCAGCTCAGGGTGTGATCCTGGGGTCCTGGGATCAACTCCCATATTGGGCTCCCTGCAGGGAGCCTGCTTCTCCCGTCTCTGCCTCTCTCTGCGTCTCTCATGAATAAATAATAAGATCTTTTTTATATATATTTTTATTTATTCATGAGAGACACAGAGAGATAGAGGCAGAGACACAGGCAGAGGGAGAAGCAGGCTCCGTGCAGGGAGCCTGATGTGGGACTCAATCCCTGGTCTCCAGGATCACGCCCTGGGCTGAAGGCAGACGCTTAACCGCTGAGCCACCCAGGCATCCCAAAATCTTTTTTTTTAAGATTGTATTAATTTATTCATGAGAGACGCAGAGAGAGACAGAGACATAGGCAGGGAGAGAAACAGGCTTCCTCTGGGGAGCCTGATGCCGACTCAATCCTGGGACCCTGGGACCATGACCTGAACCAAAGGCAGATGCTCAACGGGTGAGCCACCCAGGCATCCTTAAAGATGTATTTATATTTGTGAAAGAGAGCTCAAGTCAGGGGAGCAGAGGGTGGAGAGGAGAGAATCTCAAGGAGACTCTCCACACAGCAAGTCCTGATACAGGACTTGATTTCACAACCCTGAGATCATGACCTGAGCTGAAACAAATAATTGGATGCTTTTTTTTTTTTTTAAGATTGTATTTATTTATTCATGAGAGAGAGAGTCAGAGGCATAGGCAGAGAGAGAAGCAGGCTCCCTACTGGGAGCCTGATGCGGCACTCGATCCCAGGACCCCAGGATCACCACCTGAGCCAAAGGCAAATGCTCAACCGCTGAGCCACCCAGGCACCCCTTTCTAGGTTTAATTTTTTTAAAGATTTTATTTATTTATTTATTCATGAGAGACAGAGAGAGAGAGAGAGGCAGAGACACAGAGGGAGAAGCAGGCTCCCTGCAGGGACCCCGACGTGGGACTTGATCCTGGGTCTCCAGGATCAGGCCCTGGGCTGAAGGTGGCGTTAAACCACTGAGCCACCCGGGCTGCCCTCTAGGTTTAATTTTTAATGTAGCAAACATTACCTAGATTTTTTTTTTTAAGCCTTTAGGATCCTCAAGTTTTGAGAGTGTAAATGTCCTGAGATCAAAAGGTTTAAAAAACCTGTGTCAAAAAAAAAAAAATAAAAAAAATAAAAACCTGTGTCTCCAGATGTTTTAAGTGTTTGGCATATATGACATTGGGTGTAGAAATTACTTAAATAAATAAATAATTTAAAGGAAAAGAATTATAGACATTCAAGGAAGGTACACAAGAAGGTAGGATGTCACCTTGGAAGAGCCAATGGGCAGCTCCAGTAAATCTGTGGATTTACCATGATCTGGCTCTCCTGTCTTGGTGGCTTAGAAATGACTTAAAAATGTGATTTAGATCTAAGGAATATTGGCATTACACAAGGCTATATAAACTTAAATATTATTTTACTAAGAATTATGACTTCCAAGAAGACTGTGCCTTCTTGTTTAAAAAAATATAGGTTTTATTATTATCCACATATGCTGAGGCCATTTAAAACACATTTTGTACTCAGGGTTGCAAGAGGAGGCAGGTGTCCTTCTTCACAGGGGGCCAGTGTGGGGAAGCACCAGGGGTCAGGCTGAAGGACGAGGGAGTGAGGGGAAAACTTGGGGAAGATCCTTTATTATGGTTTCTGCAGGAAGGAATGGGTGAGGAAGGGTAAGTCAGTTTAGAATTGGCTAGTTTGAATAATTTCAGTGGTTTCTGGGGTGTGGCAGCTGTCACTGGTTGTTTGGTACCTGACCCCTAGGGTGATGAGGACAGGGGGTCAGTGGCCCGGAGCTAGAGAGCCCTGTGAGAGCCCGATGAAGGAGATGGTTGGACTACGGACTCTGGGTTGGTTTGTTTGTATATGAAAGATGTATTCTGGGGCAAGTTGTTTTCTACCCCTACGAATTAGCTAATCCTGGGAGGGACAGTCCCTCAAGGATCAGCAAGACCCCAGGATATTAAAGCATTAGAAAATAAAGAAACATGATTAGGGCAGCCCCGGTGGTGCAGCGGTTTAGCGCCGCCTGCAGCCCGGGGTGTGATCCTGGAGACCCGGGATCGAGTCCCACATCAGGCTTATTGCATGAAGCCTGCTTCTCCCTCTGCCTGTGTCTCTGCCTCTCTCTCTCTCTCTGTGCCTCTATGAATAAATAAATAAAATCTTTTAAAAAAAGAAAGAAACATGATTAATATAGTTGTCATCACCCTGACAAGTTCATTCCTGCCTTTAGGCAAGCTATATGGGAATCAAGGTAGTAGGAGGCTACATAGTATTTAATCAGAATAAGTGTAGTTTTATCCTTTGAGATTTTAAAAGGTCCAGTTACTGAATAACTGATGGATGCATCTCTACCAAAGACTATGCCAGGCTGGTGTTCATCACTTTCCCTGGGCACTGTCAGCACTTGTCTCTTCCTCCCCAGAATTATTCTTGCTATGAATCAGTATTAGCTGTACTCTTTGGAAATCCTAGCCAAAAGTAACTAAGAAAGGTACCTGTAAAACTAATGAATGAAGTGTCTTCATACCTTTAATCATACTTTTACATTAGGTTAAAACATAACACATACATATCTGATTCCTATTGCAAACATCTGTGACTTATCACTGGGATTCCAGTGATATATTCCACTTAATGGAGTGACAAGTCCCATGGGATGGCTTTAGAGCCTAACTCAAGCAACCTTAGCCCCTAAAATGTTTTTAGGATTGATAGAAGACTAAAAGCTCTTCCAAATATGGCCAACAAAGTGTTAATCCTATTAAATATTTTTTACACATTGGGATGAGAATAGCAACAGAAGTTATTCTCTCAGTTTTCTGTTTACTCAAAGTGATATGTAGCATAATTTCTCTTGAAATTATATTGAAATATTTATCATTAGTATTTGAAATAAATGAAAATCAATGAAAATCAAAATAACATTTAAAACTTTTATTGATAGCATTTTGTTTACGAACTAATCTATTTACATAGCTTTCCAAACTGTATCCTTACAACTTAGAGCCAAGCATTTTTCTCCCTACTAAAACTTGTGCAAAAGGTTTAGCTACATCAGGTACAATTCTAATTTCTGAATCAAGAAAATATTTCTAATGTAATTTACATTAATGTTCTTCAACATTAAATGGAAAACCTCCAATATATTTTTTTCAAATAAAGGCCACAGGAAATTAAATAATTACCATGTACATTATAACTTGTTTATATCAAATTACCAAGAAAAGCATCATGCCAATTGTTAGGATCTCCTCTACTAATAAAGGCAAAGAAATAAAGCTGTATATGACAGTCATCAAATAAATACACTCAGGTTTTGTATGATTTGACTTTATTCTTTGTTGTAAAACTGCTTAATTGAAATAAGGATTCTTTATATAAACACCACGTTTTGAAATCATATAGATAATATAGTCATTTTGTAATATTTCATGATGGTAGTGTGGTCTTCATTTATTTCGTTAGAAGTTATTCACAGGTCCTAAATACTAGATGATTGAAATATCACCCTAAGAAAATTATCCTTATTATGTAAATGTCTAATAATTATATGTTAGAAATTAAAAGATACTCTTTAATCTTGACCGAATATTTAGTGTATTTTGTAATTTTCTATTGGCTTTCTTAATTTTAGCTAACCTAAGAGAATCTAATAATCAATTTTTCTTTTCTAAAACGTAGCAAGCACATAGTTTCTATTTGTGATAAATCGCCACGGTTTTTGTTTTGTTTTGGTTGTCTGTAGAAGGCAAGCATAATCTGATATAAGTAAAGAGGAATGCTTTTAAATTTCTGCTTTATCTTGTTATTGGGAACCTATGGATAGGCTTCAAAAAATAACAGAAATTAAAAGGTATGGAGAAAGAATTCTATGAGATAACATTAAAATAAAACCAAGCAAAACCCAGCACACCAACACTTAGCATAGATTATTACTAGCTTGTAAAACTCTGATCTGTTATTTGATGTTGATTAAGCTGACAACATGAATATTAGCTGCCTGGTGTACTATAATGGTTGGCGTTTTCAAATTTTAATTAGACTTCACCTACCTGCAGTCAACATTTTTAAGAATTAGTTCATCCTTTGCTTATACCTTAGTCTTAATAATCATAGAACTGTTTTGTGTTTTTTTTTTAATGCTTTTGGCATCATGGAAAATTATAATCTTATTTATTGTTATGTTAAAAACATTTATTGACTTGAATGCAGTGTTTCCTAATAAAATATCTGGAAAACCTGAAAAAAAGTTTAAAGTCATTTCCAACATATGTGACCTTCTGGGTTTTTTTGCTGATTTTTGTTTAAATTAAAAACTTGGACCACATGAAGGTTGTTAAATTTTAGAGGTTTTGAGAAATATAGCTTTAATTTTGAGAGAATTTCCTTAGTAGAAACTACACATTATTTGTGTGTGCATAGTGCCTAGTACGATACACAATATATTTTGATACCTCTAACAACTATAGGTTAACCAATTACAAGATTTAAAGGAACAAACATTTGAGATTTCCTTTCTGGTCCTGTATTTCTCTGATTTAGACATTTGAACAAAATGTGCTTTCTAGCCAGCTTTACTAATTTTACTAAAAATTTACTAATTGCTTAATTTGTTCTGTTTGCAATGATTGTCTCCTTAACAACATTTTTTTACTTTTGAATTCTTTAGGGAACATAGGAACTGTTGGCATAAGCACTTTCTGACCACAAGAAAGGAGGCTGGAAATCTTGTTATTGACACTGGTATCGGAGATGGGGGGGTGAGGGTTCACATGTAAGGGTGGTAGAAATCCTGGCCTGGGTGGCGTAGAATTGTGATCTAAAGGGAAAGCTCCTGACCCACGCCTTTCTAACAGTGCGTGATTTCTCCTGCTCAAGGGACCTGGTGAGATACTCTCCAGCAATTCTTTGGGCCCTGACAACAAGGAAGGAGATGGCGAGAGGATCTTCTTCTTTCCTAGAAGCGCTTTGCCATCTTCTAAAGTCGTAGGGGTAAGGCCAGCCGTGAGCTGGGAATCAGAGCTGTAGTGATTTGCCCCTGAATTTCTTTTCTGAACTATACTTCTTAAGGTGGAAACAAACATTGTCTGGTTCGAGTCTGGATCTGGGTCAGCAGGGATTTCAAGGCATTGCTGATTTCCTTCTGAAAAAAGTAACTGATGATTTATTTCATCGTATGACATCTTTCTTGAGCTGGCCTGATCAAAGGCTCTCAGCAAATATGCAGTGTCTTTAATATCAATACTTTGGTGCCTAGTGATAAATCGCTTGGAGAGCACCAGCCCATTGGTTTTGTAGGATAATTCTTCCTCTGGAGTAATATCCTGGAGCTCCTCTTGCAAAGAGGCCACTCTGTTTTGGTGCATTAGTAAGGGGGGACTCTTGATCCAGGTTGGAGCCTGGGGTAGTTTGGCCCCATTAGAGGCCATAGCAGGCTTCCTCATAGGGGAGCCTGGGTCCTGTGTATCATCACTCTTTCCTGAGGGCTCCAAACCTTTAAGGCCAAAAAGTGTCTTTTCAGTTTCAGAAGAATGTGAAAATGGCAATGAAGCTGTTTTTATGTCTATTTCTGAAGGAGTGGCACAGGAAGCTGAGGAGTGACACCCATCTGTATCTACAGGAGGCATATTTAAGTACTGTTTGGTAGTGTGCCGACCACATGGTGATTTCGCTGTCGTTATGATAATGACCTCTTTTCCTTTTGCCTTGCAAGCACTAAGCAGAACTTTCAGGGTTTCACTATCCTCTGAATTTATAGCATAAACAAGGGCCGAAGAACTAGAATGGTCTTGCAAGCTGAGATCAGCCCCACTGTTTAGGAGCAAGGAAACAACTTCAGGACCAGCTTTTTCTAGGCAAGCGTGCATCAAAGCAGTTTTCCCAGATTTGTCCTGTATGTTGGGGTCAGCATTGTTTTCTAACAGGTATTTAACCATTTTGGCTTTACTGACACTCTGGTGATCAACATGTTTAGTCTTACAAGCGATCATTAAAGGTGTTTCCCCACGGTCATTGCTCTCGTTAATGTAGGCACCACCTTCTAACAAGAGTCTTGTGAGGCGAAGCCGGCTCTGATGAACTGCTTTGATCAGGGAATTTCCCTCACTTGAAATTTCTAGACCTTCATCCATCTTCAAAAGTCAGAATCAACACCTGGTTATCAAAGAATATGAAGAACAAAAGATTAGCGAGAATCCCAATTTGTATTCACGTTATCATTCATAATTTCTGAAATATGTATGTATGGATAGAGTCACAGAACATAAATGAGATTATATTATTAATAAATTTAGAACAAAATAGTGAATTGCAAAGTAAAAGAAATTCTAGAATAGTAAGAGCCTTTAGGGAATCACAGACTAAAATTTACTTTCAAAGTCTCATAAATTGAATATTTATGATACAATACCAGCCTAGTGCTTCCCTAAATTCCACATTAATTAAACAACAATCCACTTTCTACTTGTGAAAAATACTTTTAAAATGACACTAAAATGTAGATTTAAGCAAAAATTCTAAAAATCTGTGTAATTGCAACTGAATCAATTAAAATATAGCATATTTATGGCAGATTAATCTAAAAAACTTCTTACTGTTAAATTACTTAAATGAGCTCTTGAGTTAAATAATACGACTATTATCTAGATTTTCAATTTGAAGAACATTTCTATGTTTCTTTTAAAGGATAAAAAATCACTTGAACTACAAGGCATTAAAATACCTGACACAGTGTGTGGAACTCATACTGAGAGGGGAATGGTGAGCCTGTAATTATTCATTTTCCTTGATTTCAGTATTTAAATCACACACTAGATTATGGATAGGGATAGCCACATACTGTCGGGTTAAATTTTAACAGCAGTACATTTGCTCTGAAAAAGGAGTTTTTGAGCCTAAAAATGTAAATAAGGACATGTAGCCTTTGTAGACATTTTATTTTTTATTATTAAAACTAAAAATTATTTACGTTTAATTTATTTAAATAATTTAGATTCAAATTCCTTCAAAAGATAATTCCATTAGTTGATAAGAATTATGTCTCTAGGTGTGCTTGGCTGCCTTAGTCAGTAGAATACAAGACTTTTGATCCTGGGCACATGAGTTTGAGATCTCATGTCCCTCTATCCCCACTTGGGGTGTACAGCTTATAAAAAAAAAAAGAAAAGAAAAGAATTATGTCTTTATATAGAGCTGAGGAAATGTTTGTCTTTGAATAGTCCTTAGAGCTGGGGAGAAAAATGGAGTTTATATAATATTTAAACCTATTCTATTTAATGAGGTAGGTTTTAGAAATCAAGAAGTATTATTTATTCTTCTTATTTACTTTTTTTAAAGATTTATTTATTCATGAGAGACACAGAGAGAGAGAAAGAGAGAGAGAGACAGGCAGAGGGAGAAACAGGCTCCATGCAGGGAGTCCGACGTGAGACTCGATCCCGGGTCTCCAGGATCACGCCCTGGGCTGCAGGCAGCGCTAAACTGCTGAGCCCCCCCGGGCTGCACTACTTTTAAATTAACAATATGGGACATGAATTTTTTAGTAGATAATAAATATAGGGTAGCCCCTGTGGCCCAGCGTTTTGGCACCACCTTCGGCCCGGGGTGTGATCCTGGAGACCTGGGATCGAGTCCCATGTCGGGCTCCCTGCATGGAGACTGCTTCTCCCTCTGCCTGTGTCTCTGCCTCTCTCTCTCTCTCTCTCTCTGTCATGAATAAATAAATAAAACCTTAAAAAAAGATAATAAATATAACAACCTTTTAATGGTCAGGAGATAAAAGGAACAAAAAATGAAGGGGGGAGAAAGAAAGACATGCACACAAAACATAGAATCTGAGTATTAAACAGCTGTAAGCTCTTACTACGTCCCAGGCACTGGGCTACCAAGGCACGTGCCCCAGCCCTGAAGAGCTTGCTCAGTTGTTGGAAAGAGATGCCACTCGAGCAGTGGTTATGAGCATACAGGTGGTGGTGGTGCCAGGGCTGAGGGCCTCCCGGGGCCAGCCCTGTGAGTGGGTCTTCAAGACCACCCAAGACTTTGGTAGGCGTTCCCGGTGCAAAACCTACCTAGATGCTTGAAATAGCAGTTATTTATTATGAATCAGGCTCTCTTTATGCCGATGTAACCAAACTTTAGAAAAGGATGTAGCAGATGGTTTGGTTAGGGTAAATATGACAGAAGACACACCTGCAATGTTGCCTCTTCCTGAATAATCCCTTGAAACTAAAGGTTTTCTTTTCTTTTTTTTTTTTTTAAGATTTTATTTTTAAGTAATCTCTACACCCAACATGGGGGGCTCTAACTCACAACCCCGAGATCAAGAATCATAGTGTCCACTGATGAGCCAGCCAGGCGGCACCCCCAGAATTTCGTAAGAGATACACATTCATGGGACGCCCAGGTGGCTCAGCAGTTGAGCGTCTGCCTTCAGCTCAGGATGTGATCCCACAGTCCTGGGATCGAGTCCCATGTCGGGCTCTCTGCATGGAGCCTGCTTCTCCATCTGCCTGTGTCTCTGCTTCTCTCTCTCTCTGTCTCTCATGAATAAATAATAAACGCTTAAAAAAAAGAGAGAGAGATATACATTCACAAGGGTAGCAGGAACATGAGACAATTGCAACATTCTGGAAGCCAGAAAGCTGATGGGCCAGTGGTGACTAAGTCAGCCAACCTGAGAAGGCTCAGGTCATTCATTACAAAGCTGAGACCTAAGGCCACGTGCACTGCAGAATCCTCGAAGAGGCAGTAGCGGCAGGAAGTTCTAGAACTGGGCAGGGGGTGCAGAGTAAGCTAATACAATGAGGACTAGGTGAAAAGCTGTCAGGAGAAGCTGTTAGATCCCGAGGTCCTTGCCAGCCAAAGTGTGATCTACCGTGGACTACCAGCAGCACCACCATCACCTCAAAGCACCACCTACTGAATCAGGGCCTACATTTTAATTAGATCCTCAGGTGATTTATACGTGCATTAAAACGTGAGAAGCACTGCCTCAGGTCATTCCTTCACTTCAAGCCACTGGGAGATAGGATATTACCCCTCCTACTTGAGATGTCCAGACCTTTATTCTCCAGAAATGGTGAAACAGAGGCTCTTAGGGATGCCTTGGTGGCTCAGCGGTTGAGCGCCTGCGTTTGGCCCAGGGCGTGATCCTGGAGTCCCTGGATGGAGCCCCACAGCGGGCTCCCTGCAGAGAGCCTGCTTCTCCCTCTACGTCTCTCATGAATAAATAAATAAAATCTTAAAAAAAAAAAAAGAAAGAAAGAAACAGAGGCTCTCTGGATTGGAAGACACCTGACATATCTGAGTATAAGAAAATGGGGAATAAGTGATCGAATGCTTACTGATCACTGAATGAAGAGACTCACAGCCTTCTCTCCAACTCAAGGCTGGCAACTGTACCCTTATAATGGAGCAGAACACTGCTAAACACTTCCCTCCAGAATCTGACCTGCTTAAAAGAAAATACCTAAGAGTATTAACCACAGGGATTCCCTAACATGACACCCGGATCATCAAACAGTGAAGTTAAGGATTACAAGCCTCACCCGTGTGTTCAAGGCTTCTCATCAGCTTTTTAATCCAAGTCTTTTAACTATGAACAGATCATCAAAATAAAAAATAAAACAAGTCTCTTTACATTAAAGATAGAGACCAGATATGTGTATGCACACACACACACCCACACACACACACACTATGGAATATTTACTCTGCCTTTAAAGGATCAACGCCTACCATATACATTGACGTGGATGGAACTGGAGGGTACTATGCTGAGTGAAGAAAGCCTATTGGAGAAAGACAATTATGTGGTTTCACTCATATAGAAGAAATAGTGAAAGGGACTATAAGGGGAAGGAGGGAAACTGAATGGGGAAAAAAATCAAAGAGGAAGACAAACCAGACAAACCATGAGAGACTCCTAACTCTGGGAAACAAACAAGGGTTGCAGAAGGTGAGGAGGGGAGGGAGTTGGGGTGACTGGGTGACGGGCACTGAGGAGGGCACTGGATGGGATGAGCACTGGCTGTTATACTATATGTTGGCAAATTGAGTTTAAATAAAATTAAAAAGATAGAGACCAGAACACATAGAAAAAAAGAAACTTGGAGGAGACAGATATTAGGAAGATGAAAACTTCAAAAGCTCATTATCTTCAGAGATAAGATCTTGTAACGATGAAACAAAAATAAGACTATGAAAAAGGACAGCCCGGGTGGCTCAGCGGTTGAGAATCTGCCTTCAGCCCAGGGTCTGATCCTAGAGTCCCGGGATCGAGTCTCATGTTGGGCTCCCTGCCCGGAGCCTGCTTCTCCCTCTGCTGGTGTCTGCCTCTCTGTGTGTGTCTCTCATGAATAAATAAATAAAATATATTTTTTAAAAATCTGAAAGAAAAATGACTCCCAGCTTAGAATTCTACATCTAGCCAAACCATCAGTCAAGAACCTGAAATACTCTCTTTTTTTTTAAGATTTTATTTATTTGTTCATGAGAGAGAGAGAGAGAGAGGCAGAGATACAGGCAGAGGGAGAAGCAGGCTCCATGCAGGGAGCCTGGCGCAGGATTTGATCCCGGGACTCCAGGATCATGCCCTGGGCCAAAGGCAGGCGCTAAACCGCTGAGCCACCCAGGGATCCCTGAAATACTCTTAAGAATTTACTAAAGGATATAATCTACCAAGATGAAATGGTAGAACAAGAAAGAGGAAATCTTTTTTTTTTAATTTTTATTTTTTTAAAGATTTTATGTATTTACTCATGAGAGACACACAGGCTCGATCCCGGGACCCCAGGATCACACCCTGGGCTGAAGGTAGGTGCTGAACCACTGAGCCCCCTGGGATCCCAGAAAGAGGAAATAAGATAACAGAGGCTGGAGATCATCTTAGAGGAGAAATACAAAATACACCCAGGAAGATGGTAAAGGGCTAGGAAAATGGATGTGAACAGAACATCATCTCAGAGGTCAAACTGTCATTTTACCGTCTTGTCAACTGAGAGCCAGGTGAGCCTGCCCCCGGGTCTTCTCTCTCCTTGCCTGGTCCTGACCACGTCTCTGCTCCCTTCTCTACGCTCTGCTTTCTGGGGCAGCCAGTGCCACTTATTGTATCTGGGCTCCATCGTTCTGCTTTGACCTGCCACGAGGCCTGGGGATTAGTCTCGGTGAGCTTTGGAGGAGGAAGACTGGACCTTCATTCCCCCTGCATAGCCAGAACCTGAGCTATGCTGCGACACTGCCAGAAGCTGGTCATGCTGAGCCCCATGTTTCCCAGGACTTCCTCACTCAGAAGGGTCTCTTAAAAATGCTGGGCCAAATTCAGGTCCAGAGATTGTTAAACTCATCTTCTCCTGAGAGCTTTAGTCATATATTGGCAATGCAGACCTTTCCTTATTCAATTAATTTTGTACTTGCTACCCAGTTTTCCAAAAATAAACAGTTTACTTTAGGATCATATACAAGTGGGAAACTTAAAAAAAAAAAAAGAATAATTAACACAGAAGTCAAGAGAAAGTTATTTTTTGGTGGGGGTAGTTCAGAAACACACAGTGGCTTTTATTTTAAGGTTCAGGTAATATTCTTTTTTTCTTTTTTTTTTTTATTTATTCATGAGAGACACAGGCAGAGGGAGAAGCAGGCTCCATGCAGCGAGCCTGATGTGGGACCCGATCCCAGGACCCCAGGATCACGCCCTGAGCCGAAGGCAGACGTTCAACTGCTGAGCCAGCCAGGCATCCCGGTAATATTCTTTATCTAATTTGGATGGTGTGTATACATTTATCCATTTTATTATTATTATTATTATTATTATTATTATTTAAAAGAACATATTTCAGAATGCTGAAATATCCTACAGAAGCGTAGGATAACACTCATCTAATTTTTTGGTAAAATAGAATATAGAAAAGAGCATAGCATTTAGGTTAAGATATGTACCATAATTAAAATTTAAAAGAGCCACGTTAGTTTGTAACTTTTTACATCATTCAGTTTTGTGGTATTATCAATAGTATTGATGCGTAGACTTCCAAGGAGTTCCAACTAGCAGTATTCAGAAGAATATACTTACTCATTCTCTTTTAGCATCACTCATGATGTCAAGCAAAGATCAACTATTCAGTAGATACATACATAAATACAATGAGTGAATGCTGCGTTTTTTGTTCCCCGGGGCAACTTTCTATAAAAGCTATTCCAAAGCGAGGCATACCTGCAATTTGAGGCCTTAGGAATTTAGGATTGGTTGACAGCTTGGGTCCCAACAGAAGTCTATTCTGAATGCAAAGCATCTGAAAAGAGCTTGCAGAAGAAATCTTCTAGCATTTTTCATATACTAATGTGCTTAATAAAGCAAAGAGATGTAGAGAAATTAGCTGGAACATAATCAAATAGAGAAACCATTTAGTAACCACAGGTGGAGAAGAGATGCAGTATCAATCATGTAAAGCCACCTTTGGCCAAAAGTGGCATTTGAGAAACATATTCAAATGAGGACAAGTTGCCCGATAGCAGATCTCAGGGAGCAGGATCCAAAGCCCCGGGGATCATGATCTGAGCCGAAGGCAGACGCCTAACTGACTGAGCCACCCAGGCACACCGCCCCCGCCCCACCCCTGCCATCTTCTTGTTGTATTTTTTAAGTTTTATAAGAATCTTTTGGAAAGACATTCAAATCTTTTCACCTACCCTCATGTAAAGACTTTCTCCACAACACTAAACCTGGACACTTTCTGTCATAACTTTCTCTCACCAAGGTTAGCATCAGAAGGTTCTGGGAAAAGAAGGGGAGCTGGCAATGTACTGCCAGTGTGACTGCTTGAGAGGGGCAGTGGCCCCACTGTGGTCCTACGGAAAGGGAGGGTGCTGTGGCCTCCAGGGCTCTCTGCAGACGCTGGGCAATGGCACCACCAGCCATCGGCAACTAGTGACTCTCTGTCTCTTGGATGTAGGCATACCCCCTCTAGAGCTGTCTAGAAGACACCAGCCACAACAAAGCCTTACTCTTTGTTCATTTCACAGACTTCTAAAGCCCCTTGCGTTGCTCAGTTTTTATTTTTTTTTATTTTTTTATTTTGTTTTTTTTTTTTTATTTATGATAGTCACACACAGAGAGAGAGAGGCAGAGACATAGGCAGAGGGAGAAGCGGGCTCCATGCACCGGGAGCCCGACGTGGGATTCGATCCCGGGTCTCCAGGATCGCGCCCTGGGCCAAAGGCAGGCGCCAAACCGCCGCGCCACCCAGGGATCCCAACGTTGCTCAGTTTTTAAACTGTTCACATTTAATAGAACAATTCTAAAACTGTTTAAAATTAAAGTTCACAGAGAAAAAAGCTGTCAGATACTTTATCGTCCACATGTATACCAATTTGGTTTCCTAGTGTCTCACATTCAGAACCTTATTGGAACAATCTCTTTGTCTTTATGTCTTTAACTCTCTTTCAGTTCTTTTATCATAGTCCTCCATTTTCACATCAAAAATGGTGAAAATCAAGTTCAATTTCTCTACCTGTGATGAAGATCATTTCTCTAGCCTGCAATTGTCCTAGTTCAGAAATGTTCTTGGTTCTTGTCTCTTCCTGTGAAATATCCTCACCAAGCACCCACTGCCGATAATGTATGAACATTCAGTCAGGCCCTTTGTTACAATATAGCATGTAAGTAATCCCCACATGCAGTTATATCTTCCAAATAGATAAGTTAGTTCAACTGGAGAAAGTTCTAGTCAGACAGACCCATATTTCCATCCTGATTCCCCTACTTACTAGCTGTATACCATAGTCAAAGCTCTTAGCCTCTCAGTCTTGAGTTCTTCCTCTGTAGCATGACAAGGATCCGACCTTCATTCAAGGTGGGAGGGGGTAGGGCGAGGCAATGAAATCAGACATCTAGAAAAAGACTTTCCTATTGTTCCTTACTACTTGTAATTTTTTTAAAGATTTTATTTATTTATTCATGAGAGAGAGAGAGAGAGAGAGGCAGAGACACAGGCAGAGGGAGAAGCAGGCTCCATGCAGGGAGCCCGACATGGGACTCGATCCCAGGACTCCAGGATCACGCCCTGGGCTGAAGGCAGGTGCCAAACTGCTGAGCCACCCCGGCTGCCTTCATTGTATTCTCTTTAAAAATTTTATCTCAGAATTTAGTCTTATTTTGATCATGTTTCTAATTCAGTCTATTTAAATAACAGATAAAATATTTAAAATGTAGTTTTTTTTAAAGATCTATAAACTATGTTTTATAAATATAAATGGAATCTATTAAGTGAATATAGAAAAAATAGCCTTAAATGTGTTTTCCTTATAATTTCCAAATACAATAATCTCAGCATATTATAAGATGAATTATTAAGCAGCTGGACAAACTGCTTTTTATTTTGAAATCAGAATGTCTTTAACATTACTATGATTCATCACGGCATATTTACTATGCTCTTTTAGTGCCTCTCTCTACTCCCATCTAAGATCTCACTGAAATTAATTTAGTTATTTAAAAATCTTTAAAAAACATATATTCTGAAGAACAAAAACTTGGAGGAGAGATGTATTATCAGAGGAGCAACTTCAGACAAGCTCTGGAAACAGTAGAGATGGTGGCCTGGTAAACTACCTTCCAGGCTGCACCGCAAAGTCCCCAGCAGGTGGCCCCTTGACAAGGGAACCAGTTCACCCCCAGGAAGGTTGGTACTAGGAGGCCCTGATGACACAGAGAGTGGTAATGAGGCACAGGACTGAAAATGAGGATGGCTCAAAGCCTGTGGACAAGGCACCTGGACCCCCAGGCGCTTTTCCCCACCCCAAGTAGATGACCACTATCCTAGGCCAGAAAGTAAGATTTATTCTCTAAACAGATTGATCAGAAAGGCTGAAAATAGGGGATAAAGTGAGAGTTTACAGGCTGAATGTGGAATTCCAGATCTCTGCCCTGGTAGTGGGAGGCCAGAAGCCAGGCAAAAGCAGCAAAACAGCACTGGCTCTCAGAATTATGAGCCCTATTAAAAATCTCTGTTGATAAATGAAGCAATTCAAATAACTACATTCGCCCCTCTAGCTAGACACCTACTCTAAATGGAAATAGAAAGTTACCTGAAAATGTTACTCAAAATTTCTTTTCTTTTTTTTTTTTTTTTTTCAAAATTTCATACTTAACGGATTTTCACTCCATGGATGAGGTTTTTTTTTTGTGTGTGTGGTTTTTTTTTTGGCAGCCAGCTGTCAGCGCCTACTGAAGGAAATCAAAGCTAGTCAGTTACATAAATACCAATACTTTGGGGATCCCTGAGTGGCGCAGTGGTTTGGCGCCTGCCTTTGGCCCAGGGCGCCATCCTGGAGACCCGGGATCGAATCCCACGTCGGGCTCCTGGTGCATGGAGCCCGCTTCTCCCTCTGCCTGTGTCTCTGCCTCTCTCTCTCTCTCTGTGACTATCATAAATAAATAAAAATTAAAAAAAAAAATACCAATACTTTGTTACACACATCGCTCCCAATGGGAGTCTAGTTTTTTTTGGGTTTTTTTTTTTGTTTGTTTTTGTTTTTTAATTCCTTGTTAAGATATCCCTATAGGGCCGCCTGGGTGGCTCAGCAGTTCAGCGCTGCCTCCCGCCCAGGGCATGATCCTGGAGTCCCGGGATCGAGTCCCGCATCGGGCTCCCTGCATGGAGCCTGCTTCTCCCTCTGCCTGTGTCTCTGCCCCTCTCTTTCTCTGTCTCTCATGAATAAATAAAATCTAAAAAAAAAAAAAAAAGATATCCCTATAGTGTTTGGTTAATTACGTTTCAGTGATTATGAGTAAAAGTGTCTGGAGTGGATCCCACGCACCGCAGTCCCGTGTGTACAGGCCAAGGCTTGCCCTGCAAGGATGCTGGGGTTGAAAGGGCTGCAGCATCACCCAGTCCAGCCCTCCCCTACCCCACCCGGTCCATGCAGGACAGATGAGGCGGCGAGGAAGAAAGGGTAGAGCACTCCCAGTCACTCCTCTTACTTGCCTGCTCACCAGGACTTAATTAGATCTTCCTGTGTCCTTTCTCTTAATTTTTCCTTGCTTCTTGGATACCAGCTTCCCACAGAGTAGGATTGTGATTTGAGTACCTGATTTGAGTGGCATCAGCTACGGTAGTGCTACATGGGCTGAGGTATTTTAAAAGCCATCTTGGAGATGACAGGCTTGGCCTTCCCTGTGGCTCTTCCCTGTGGCTTCCCTGTGGCTCTTCAAGCACCTCGTTTTCCTTGCACCCAGAGAGAAACGTTATTTTCCTTTGAGATTCTTACTCCAGCTGCAAATCGGATTGGCCCTGTGTGTCAGAGACAGGGGCTCCATCTCTTCCCAAGTTACCAGCCCTGGGGAAGCTGATCCTCTGGGATTCAGTTTCCTCATCCTAAAGAGGGGGTAATAGCCACAGATGACTGAGAATTCCAAAAGATCCTAACATACCTGCTATTTGGGAAGTAAAGACATGTCAGTTTCTCAACATGCATCACTAAATATGGATTCTGGGCTGATGGGGTCTGACAATGGGAGGCCAACGAGCCCACATCAATGGGTTTTCCACCTTCTGTAGGAATAATCACACGGAGAACTTATTAAAAATAAGATTTCAGGGGCATCTGGGTGGCTCAGAGGTTCCACCTCTGAGAAGCATCTGCCTTTGGTTCAGGGTGTGACCCCGGGGGGTCCCGGGATTGAGTCCTGCATCGGGCTCCCTGCGTGGAGCCTGATTCTCCCTCTGCCTGGGTCTCTCATGAATAAATAAATAAAATCTTTTAAAAAATAAATAAGAGTTCAGCCTCCGCTCCCACATATTCAATAGGGGATGCTTCCTATGCAGACTTGGAGAAAATATGTGCCCAACTGTGCCTTCCTCATTCTCGTCCCACTTCCTGTCCGGTCACCCCACCTGTCTCAGGCTCCTGCCGCGCTGTCTGCAGCGTCACTCCCAGGTGTGTGGTGCTCCCCGGCCTCGGGGCAAGGGCAGCGGCGACGCCGTGGCCGCCGTGGCCGCCGTGGCCTCCGTGGCCCGGAGAGGGGTTAGGGGCGCTGGCCGGGGCCTGGGCAGGCCGCAGCAGTCCGGGGCGAGGGCGGCCAGGACGGGGCCAGCGAGGCGCGCCCGCCTGCCAGGGGCCGAGCAGGGGCGTCCTGCCGCCGAGGGGCAAAGCGCGGACGCACCGGGCATCCGGGACTGTCCCGGGAAACTGAGGACTTGCCGGGAAAGCGGAAAGCGCGCTCCTCGGCCGGCCGCGGCTTGTTCGGTGTCTCGCAGCCGCGCGAGGGCAGGAAGGAGGCGCTGGCGAGGTCGCCGTGGCCCCCGAGGCGGGGCCCGAGCCCTCCCGCCCGGGTCCCCGCGCCCCCGCGCAGCCCCCGCCCCGTACCTGCGGGTGTCGGACCTCCGCGCCGCTGCGATCCCGGCCGCGTCCCCGGGCGCCGCCTCCCGGCGCGGCTGCGTTCCTCGGCGCCCCCGGACCGAGCCCTGGGCGCTGCCCGGCAAGGGCGCGGGAAGGTGAGCGGGGCGCCGGCGGGGCGGGGCGGGGCGGGGGCGCGCTCCTCGGGCTTGGCCGACGGGCGGCGGCGGTCACCGTCCCGGGGGGCTGCGCCCCGAGGGCGGCGGCGGGCGCCGGGTGCAGGGGCAGGCGCGCCTCGGACCCCGAGCCTCCGCGAGGGGCCGCGGCTCCCGGCGCCAGGGCTCTGCGCGCCCCGGGGCGCGGGGACCCGGCTGCCTGCCCGGGGGGGGGGTGCACCCGCGGAGCCCGTATCGCGCCCCCCCACTCGCGCAGCCCGGATCGCGCCCCCCCCCCGCAGCCCGGATGGTCTCCCCCCGCCCCCCGCGCCCCAGGCACCTGCCGAGCCGCTCGCTCCCGCGGCCTCGCGCGCGCCGCTGCCGCCTGCCCGATGCCCCCCGCGGGCGCAGGCCGGAGCCGCCGCAGAAGGCGAGCCGAGAGCGGGCGGGGACGCGGCGGGCGCGAGCGGAGGCTCCGGGGCGAGCCCCCCCCCCCCGGCCGCGCCGCGACCCCGAGTTCCCGCAGGTGCAGCTGTGGGGGCGCCGCCCGCCCTGAGCCCGGCCGCGCTGCAGTCGGCGCGGGGCCCGTCCGAGGCTCGTGGCGCGAGCGCGGCGGGTCCGGCAGGTGCGGCCCCGCCCGGAGCCCCCGGCGCCCCCCGAGCCCGCAGGGTCCCCCGCGGGCGGCGTGTCCGTGTGTCCGTCCCCCACGCTCCCTCCCGCTGCAGGTGCGGGCGCTGGTTCCGCAGCCGTTCCCGGTTTTGTTTTTATGAGTTTATGACTTTATCACACTGTTATTACAATATTGACATAACACTTGCGCAAGACTTAACACAACGTGTGCTTGGTGTGCTCAGCCGTGCTGCAGCGGTTCCGACGCTGCCTGTAGCAGGGACCGGCTGGTGCGGGAAGGACCAGGGCCACGTCTGTCGTTGATCAGTTAACGTCAGTCAAAATTACTTTGGAGTCCTCAGCGGGGGGAGTAAACTTAGCTCTGGGCAGGCAGCCTTCTTTTTAGTTTCTCTAATTTTATCTATTTATTCATGAGAGACACAGAGAGAGACGCAGAGACCCAGGCAGAGGGAGAAGCAGGCTCCATGCACCGGGAGCCCGACGTGGGACTCGATCCTGGGTCTCCAGGGTCACGCCCTGGGCCGAGGGCGGCTCGGAGGCGCTGAGCCACCCCAGCATCCCCAGGCAAGCTTCTTTTATTTAGGAAAATAAGCCGCTGAAATGGGCCCTTTAGTAGAAATAATGTAAAGCAAGTTCACGGGACCTCTTAACCAAGAGTTGGGCTCTAGTTGGAAGCTTGGATCTGGGTCACCCTCTACCCCCACCCACTTGTGAGGGGAGATTGGACAGTCCCAAGGAGGCAAATTTGGATGAAGGCACAGGTCTCCTTTCCTATGCTGAAAAAAAAATTTTTTTAAAAAGAAAA